AACCGCCCCGCGCACGCGCCGAGCCTCACTGCAGCCAATAGTGGCTGGGCCTGTAACGCGGCGCGTGGGGAGGGCGGTGGCAGGAAGCTGCCTCCGTCGCCTCAGGCCTCCACTAGCTGCCCGTGCCGATAAGCGTTAGCCCCGGGAGCTGCGCCGAAGCCCCCGCGCGGGCCGGGGCGGAGATGAGCGGCTGTGGGGGTGGCGGAGGCAGCCGCGGCCGCGAGGGAAGATAGGGTGTCGGCGCGGCCGGAGCGCGGGCCCCGCGACTGAGATGGGGCTGAGAGCCGGCCGCAGCGCCAGGAGGGCGAGGCGAGGCGGGGCGGGGGGATAGGAACTAGGACCCGAGGCCTGGAGAACGGCCCGGGAGCCAGCGGTGGGGGAACAGGCAGGACTGGAGCAGGAGCTGGCAGAAGGACTGTTTTTTTATTTACTTAATTTGTATCCGCGGCCAAATTAGGCAAAACTAATTCCAAATCCAAGTGACCAGAACCATAAGTAGCCCTACTAGGCAAACATCCCCCACCTGCATCTGGGGCTTCAGATGTTTCTAAAACCTTCAACAGGCATCCTACTTGCAGGCCTAAGCCTTAGGATGCCCCTAAGTTTTGCTTGCTCTTAGCCATAAAGCTCTCAAAGCTAGCAAAGGTGGAGATTCCTGTTTCCATAAACTGGGCTTAAAGCTGCTGCACCTCAGCAGGTACTGAATCATACCAGGAGAGCAGTTCTCCCCGGGTGTGCTTCAGGAAACCTGCCTTGGACATGGATACATGGTATTTCCCCTGCCAGGTTAAGAAGCCACTACAGTTGTCTTGAGCCTTCAAAGAGGGACTTCGTCTTCAGCTTTGCACATACCCTTCCTTCCAGCCCAGGAGGCAGCCACCTCATAGTATCAGGCTTTAACTACTGAAATCATCTAGATATCAATAGGAGGCCACGTAATGGCCTTTGTTTCCTTCCATTTCCCTTTCCTAAAATCCTAGAACTTTACACACACCATTGGTGTGACACTGAGCATTATTCAGATTGTAAAATCAAGCACTAAGGTCAGGAAACAACAGAATTATGGCAGAATTGTGCCTTAATCTCTGTGCCTAAGTTTCTAGCTGTAAAATGCAGCTAATAGGGTGCAAATAATAAATGCAGCACAGAGGGTGTTGTGATTTTCAGAAGCCCTCAGATACTATGGAACCAGAACTAGAAGAGATCCCCACATCCAATTCCATCAGTGACCTACTAATACCCGTGTTGTTGACATCATGTTGTATGATCTGGCTAATAAATTTAGCAAGCGTTTGTTTAAAATAGTAGTTCTGTTCCCTCTACTAATATTAAAAAGCTGTTCTTGAACCTTACTCTTCTTTTGATTGACAGGCTATAGTTATTAATGTCTAGTTTATATCTTTTTGTTCTTGTGTTAATCTTATC